ATGGGAAATACAGGTATGAAGTATGGGAGTATGGGAATGGAAATTTGAGGTGGCTATTGAATATTATTTTTTCAGATAGTTGAGTTACTATTGAAGTACATTACTGAAATTATTATTAAAATATCATTACCACTCCATGAAAGTGAAGCTGACATTACTGATAAGCAGTAAGTATTCATCAACTGATCATGTGATCATCATGTGACATTAGGTTTGTGCTGGTTGATTTATTTGTGAAGATGCTATCAAGCCACACTGAGCTACACTGGCCACTAGTAATGATGGTTTATGAACTAGTACATGATAAAGTAATGGCAATTATGATATTAGTAATACCGTATAGTGGGAAATTTTGGAGGGACTAAAATTTGGCAAATTGCTATATTTGGGTGATTGGAAAATTTGTGGCCATGTGCCATTGAGCATGCGTATAATGGCTCAAAATGGTGGGTTTTATTTTGGCGAATGGCTATCTAAATGCCAAATTCGCCAAATTTAACTCACTCTGAAATTTCCCGCTATATGGTAATTCCAGCAACTTCTTCTCTTTTAGTATTTGGAATTGACTGATTCTCATTATTATTCATTGTCAGTTTTGTGTGTGTCTTTATACAAAGAGGCTGTCATTTATCAAGACATTGTGATAAGATGGCAGCCATGTTGTGCCCTTGACTCATTAGCAATTCAAGTAATGAGAGAAGGAAGGAGAGAGGGGGCGGTTAACACATGTACATGTACATATATGCAAGAGTGGACACTCTTGATATATGTTGTTTTGCTTTTTTAGGATTCTACTGATTATTGTTTATTTTTCATGAGTTCACTAGTTCATGTTAATACTAAAGGAATGTTGAAAACTGCAAAGTACTTGTATAATCATCTAATTCTTTATGCTCCCCCCCTCTCTCTCTCTCTTACTCCATCAGGTTTTATTGTCATTTCTTTCATAATTTACTGACATCAGGAGGAGCAGGTACATATACAATGTATGTGAATTGGTATAAAATGATCGCTTGTTTTATTATAGATGATATTTTGAAAGCAGTTGTTGATAATGATAGCAATGTGATTGATATAGTTAATAAAGTAAGTCTTTATTATAACTATTATTATTTTATTTTATTATTAGTTTAATTATATTAGTAAGAGGTTAGCAGCTGCCAGTTTGATTGATGTCCCGCCAAAATTTAACGAAGAGAGTAAGACTAAACAAAACCAGTTTCTTTGCAAACATAACCTTTGTTGTATTAGTATCTGATGTAATAAAGATGATTGACAGTTTACGTGAAATACCAATAATGTCACAGATAATAGAGACAACAAAAGTACATTGTTTATTTATTTATTTGTTTGTTTGTTTATTTATTGTCACTTAGTTTGATCCAAATGTGTGGTTACCGTGGGAGCTGTCCTTTGACATTAGCAGTGACTTTCTAACACCATTAGCAAGGTAGAATACCACTTCTCTCTCTCCCTTATCTTCTTTCTCTTTTTTCTCTTTTATGTGTCACAGGAGGAAGTTTAGAAGAGTGGCGTTATCAAGTGTACCAGTGGTCAAACAGGTTGAGCTGGTTTTGTGTAGTGTCCTATCGTTGCAAATGAGATATTGCTCCAGTCATCTTTTAGAGTCAATCAGAGCAGCCATTAATAATAATCAGTTTGAATCAATACAACTTATTAATGTAAGACAAAGAAGACAATTAAGCGTTTAATTTTATGCCATTTTTATTTCTGTATATTTAATGTATAGGAGTTGATTGGCTTGGCCACACCTACTTTTGAGAGGCCCCTCCCACTTTTAATGAATTCATTTGCCGTCATACTTGAAGTGAGTATGATGTCATATCATCTTGCGTTACTATTTTTAGAATTATGATGATAATGAGTTGCACAAAATCAAACTGGTTCAAAATTTTATGAGGTGATCCCATAAATTTTTTCATTGATAATTTTGTAATTTTTTGTTCTGTAGTTTAATGTTAGGACTGCCGCCTTATCTTGTATTTGCAAACACACCCACTACTCTGCCCACGGAAGAATCGTTAATTAGTCTAGCACAGTTTATTAATGAAAATATAGTATGTAATAATTCAATTTAAATTAATTTTTAGTTTCCTTTTAGGTGCTTCATA